GCGGGGACTGCTGAATGGGTGCAGGGTCTCCTCTGGAGGCGACGAGAATGTGCTGGAACTAGAAGAAGGTGGTTGCACAATATTTGGAATGTACGTAGGGGTTGTACACGTTACAATGGTGGGTTTCACCCTAGCCAGTAGGGCTCAGTGATTAGAGTGTGGGCCCTTGGACTGAGGGGTCCCAGATCCCATTGCAGTCAAGGGCATGTACCTCGGTTGCAGGCCGGACCCCTGGCCCCAGTCAGGGCAGGAGTGTGAGTCAACCCATCCTTGTGTCTCTCTCACATCATTGGTGTTTCTTTTACTCATCCTCCTCCCTTCCACTCTCTCTAAAAATCAGTGGGAAACAAGGGCATGTACCTCGGTTGCAGGCCGGACCCTTGGCCCCAGTCAGGGCAGGAGTGAGAGGCAACCCATCTTTGTGTCTCTCTCACATCATTGGTGTTTCCTTTACTCAGCCTCTCCCCCTCCCGCTCTCTCTAAAAATCAATGGGAAAATATCCTTGGATAGCCCTTGACCAGAATCAAATCCAGAGGCCGATTTGGTCCATAGGCCAATGCACTATCCACTGAGCCAAACCAGCTAGGGCATAGGGCTAATTTTTTATCATGGTAACCAACTCATAAATAGTTATGAAATCACCACCTTAAACTTACACAATGTTAGAAGTCAATTCTATCTCAATAAAGCTGTGGGGAATTCTCTCTATATAAAAGCCTAATATGCAAATTGTCTTCACGGGAGTTCGACTGGCAGACCGACTGCTCGCTATGACATGAGCTGACCATCAGGGGGCAGCGTGGAAAGAAGAACGGCCCCGGCCAGCAGCAAGGGAAGGAAGGCCCTGGCCGACAGGTGGAAGGCCCCAATCGACCCTGATTGCTGACCAGGTTTAGGGGACCTACCCATGCACTGAGCCTCTAGTAATAAAATAAAACGGTTCATTTTCCATTATGGGAATGTCACCTCCATTTCTGTTTTAATGATACAAAATAATTTTTTTTTTTTAAAGCTTTGGTCTTAGTACAGAGGAAGTTACTGGTTCTCAGCTGGAGGTGACTTTGTCCCATGCCGGAAGCCGGTCCATCCTTGCTGCTTGACACAGTCATTGCAGGGAAGAAACATCTGCACAGCATATGTTTCAAGGGACCTGGCGTATATGGCATACTGTTCTTAACATGTTTGCTCACCTTCTTGGTGCTATGTGTTTTAACCAAGGTCACCTCTCCGAGAAAGTTTGTTTCCCCAGGTAGGGATTTTTCCCTGAAGTTAGGGAGGGGATAAAACCCCTTAACTAAATGCCAGGCGGGTAGTTAATCACTTCAACTACGAACAATCACCCTTAAGCTACATAATCTTTACTCCCTGGAATGGAGATAAGAAACACCCTAACCTTTGGAATAGAAATTGACAGGATTAAAATCAACTGGTATAAATACAGATGTAACAAGACAACAAAACACAGAACCTGGCTAGAGAACCTCGCTATGCTAATCAACTAAACGCTGCCTCTGTGACATTCCTTCTTTGCCGACTCCGTCCACCCTTTGGGAACCCCTGGACCTGCTGGGGTTGGACCCCAACAGTCCCACAGGGACATTTGGCGATGTCCTAGACATTCCAATTGCTCCATTTGAGGGGCGGGTGGGGGGGGGGGGGGGCCCCTGGCATCCAGTGAGTAGATCATTGGAGGATCGCTCAATATCTTAATATGATCTTTTTTTTTCATATTTATTGTTGAAATGCCCCCTTTTCCCCCCATTGATCCCTTATAGCCCGCCCCCCAACCCCAGACTTTCATCACCCTATTGTCTGTGTCCATGGGTTACACATATATGAACACAAAGTCTTGGGTTGATCTCTTCCCATCCACACTCACTTTCCCTCTGAGATTCTAGTCTGTTAAATTTTTTTAAAATGAAATCCTACAGCCCTGGCCAGTTTGGCTCAGTAGATAGAGCATCCGCCTACGGACTGAGGGATCCTGGGTTCGATTCCAGTCAGGAGCACATGCCTGGGTTGTGGGCTTGATTCCCAGTAGGGGGCATGTGGGAGGCAGCCGCTCAGTGATTCCCTCTCATCATTGATGTTTCTCTCCCTTCCTCTCTGAAATCAATAAAAATATATTTTAAAAATATATATATTTAAAAAATAAAAGGTCCAGCTCAAAATGAGTTCCAAGGGTGGGAACAATGTCGACATCTTGCCTTCCTGTTTCTCCCACGGAAAAATCCCCTTTTCTGGCCTCACATCCCCCAACCCCTTTGCCACAGTCAAGCCTTCCCCGCCCCAGCCGCTCCCCCTCCATGCCCCGCTCATCCCATCCCGTCTCTGGCCCCACCTCACCCGTGAGCAGCAGCACCAGGCCCAGCGAGAAGAAGTCCAGGTAGCTGGCCAGGAAGGGCACACGCAAAGGCACGCTCTCCTGCAGCGCCCGAGACATGTGGTGCCCGGTCAGGCTGTCGATGGTGGTGCTCCAGGCTCTGGCCACACTGGCGCTGCCTGCAGCCAGAAGGAGGCACATTCATTCACAGAAGGGCTGGCACCCCCGCTGGGCACCAGGGCACAGGTTTTGGGGGAAAACAAACATGCAAAAGAGTCACCTCAAAGAGGTTCCTTTCTGCTTCCCCCGCCCCTTTTTAAAAAACATTTTTTAGCCCTGACTGGTTTGGCTCAATGGATAGAGCGTCAGCCTGTGGACTCAAGGGTCCCAGGTTCAATTCCGGTCAAGGGCATGTACCTTGGTTGCAGGCACATCCCCAGTAGGAGGTGTGCAGGAGGCAGCTGATCGATGTTTCTAACTCTCTATCCCTCTCCCTTTCTCGCTGTGAAAAAAAAATCAATAAAATATATATTTTTAAAAAACATTTTTTAATTTGTTATTTTAGAGTGAGGAAGAGAGAGGGAGAGAAAGAGAGAGAAACCTCAAACCAGCAACCTAGGAGGATGGGAACAACTCTAATCAACTGAGCTACCAGGTCAAAGACGCCTCCTTCTCATGGGGTGGGGAGAGGAGACCCATGTTTCACAGAACGGGTGAACTATTTAATTTGTTAGGAGTCCGCGTTATGCAAAAAAGGAAAACACAGGAGAAGGCCCTAGAGGGCTGGGAGGTGAGGGGGGACATTTTAAATTGGGCCCGGCTGGTGTGGCTCAGTGGTTGAGCATCAACCTACGAACCAGGATGTCTTAGTTCAGTTCCCGGTCAGGGCACATGCCTGGGTTGCAGGCTTAATCCCCGGTGTGGGGCGTGCAGGAGGCAGCCGATCCATGATTCTCTCTTATCATTGATGTTTCTGTCTCTCCTTCTCCTTCCCTCTCTGAAATCAACAAAAATGTGTGTTTTATTTAAAAGAAATGTTAAATCAGGTGGTCAGGGGGGTCTCCTGAAGCCAGCAGCGGCCGAGCGGAGACCTCACCATGGTGAGGCAGGAGCCTTGGGACACGTCTCTCACCCACGGGGACCCTTCCCAGGTTCCTACCCTTCCCATTGCTTCCTGGTGTGGTTCTAGAGCAGTGGTTCTCAACCTTCCTCATGCCTCGACCCTTTAATACAGTTCCTCATGTTGTGGTGACCCCCAATTTCATTTTTCAAATTCAACATAATTAAAGCATAGTGATTCATCACAAAAAAATATGTAATAATATGTGTGTTTTCCGATGGTCTTAGGTGACCCCTGTGAAAAGGTCGTTTGACCCCGAAAGGGGTCACAACCCACAGGTTGAGAACCGCTGTTCTAGAATTTATTTTATTGATTACAGCGAGG